TTCTTATGGGTAGGATAGGCATATGATGAGCCATTCCTTATCCAGAGATGTCCTCGCAATATTGATCCAATCTCGGATTCGCTGTAAGAAGGTCTTAGTGGTGACATATTTGTTGTCAAAGACCCGATAATTTCTTGTCTTCTAAAGTGACCAACAGATAAGTCTGAAACTTAGGTCGTAGTCGGGGTGGTGAAGATACTCCAGTAACCATTCCTGCAGGGGTAGTCCGAGTAAAAGTTGGTGGTCAGAAATCTGGATGTCCTGCATCCATATAGATCAAGGAAAATAACAGTCACGCAACACATGCATGACCATTTCTAGGGCAGCGTTGCAAGGGGTACAACTGCGGTTGGTGCAGATGTGTTATCGATGTCATTCTTCGTTGGTGAGCAGCCTCTCATTGCCGCAAGCCAAAGAAAGTGTGACGTCCGCACTAGTCCCTTCCAACACCATATCTTCTTCCAATCACAACCACAAGCGATGGTGTATGTTGACTTGACTCGGAATTGCCCATTTGATTCGGGTCCCCAGAAAGCGATATCTTCTCCTACATCATCCTTCATCGTCTGACTACCCAAAACATGAAATGCAATCTCTCACGGTAATAAGGAATGTATCAGGGCCTCGTTCTACTTACCGCTTTCATCAAGGAAAGCCGCCACAAGGAGAGTCGGTTCGATAGCCTGCACATCTTTGTGGACGTGATTGATAAGGAGTAGTGTTGGATCAAGCCACCGATCAGTCCATAAACCCATGCTTTGTCCGTCCTTCATGCACATGGCCATGCCTTCTACCAATATCGCTCAAGCTTTTTTGATTCCATGCCACAAGGTGGAGCATTAGGCCGCCAATTTTGCAGTCATCGCACCTCCATCTACTTTTGAAGTATTTAGCTTGTTAAACCTTTACCCAAAGGTCATCTAGGCTTTTAAGTAATAACCACGCAAGCTTTGCAAGAAAAGAGAGATTTAGCTCACTAGCTTTGGTAAGACCCAAACCTCCATCCTCCTTTGGTTGGCAAAACTTGCTCCTGATGTACCAAATGCACCTTATGTTTGTCTGCATTAGAGCCCAAATGAAACAATGGATTTGTTTTCCAATCTCGTCACATATCAATTGAGGTTGTAACATTGGCTACATGACGTACGTTGACATGGTGTTAATAACCAACGTCGCCAATGTGACACGCCCCAACAAATGATAAGGACTCAGCTCTCCAGCCTACTAACTTCTTGTTGAGTCTATCCAAACTATACTTGTAGGTATCTCTTGTGACCCGACCATGTAAAAATGAAACTCCTAGATAACGTCCAAAGTCACGGGTCGCCAAAATTTCCAAGGTGTGAATGATATCTCCACTACTGGTGCGGTCCGTGTTGCCGGAGAAATACACCACTGACTTGTCCTTGTCCGCCATTTCCCCTAGGCTAGGAAAAATCTATCCAATAAATCGAGGATGACTCTTACATGTTGAACTATAGATTCTACAAACAAAATAAGATTGTCAGCTAAAAAGAGATGCGAGTGGAGTGGACCTCATGGTGATGTCTTTATTGGTTTCCATCGCCCTTCAACAATTCCTACCTCAATGACGTGCTTAGGCATTTCATACACAGTGTGAATATGTATGGGGAGACGGGGCAGCCTTGGAGTAGGCAAATGGACCGAGAGACGGGCTCTGTTTGCAACCCATTCCATAAAACCTCCATGTAAGTTGTCATTACACAATGCATGACCACGAAGATGAAGTCCGTGGGAAATCCGGCCTCTTCAAGGGTTTTGTGGAGGAAACTTCAGCTAAGCTAATCATAGGCTTTTTCTAGGTCCACCTTGATCACCATCCGACCTCACTCTCCCTTTTTAAGGCCCATTGAGTGGACCACCTCCTGGAGGATTGATTCGGGTCCAATTGTACACATTTTACTGCTCATTTCTTGAGAGTTGACTTTGCATTTCATCGTCTCTCGGCCTATTTTATGCTAGGTTGTACTTTTTTATTTATATATTTCAGGTCCTGGAATGTGTGGAAGGCTTGAGGGCGAGTTTCGGGACGATTGGAGGTCGAAAAGCGCCAAAAAGTGAAGAAAAGTTCAAGGCGTGAAAATTGTGTGATCCAAAACCATTCCGCACGTCTCGTGGGCGTAAGGGTTATCATGGTTTCTTGACCGTGATAATTTCCCAGAGACCGTTAAGTTGAACTAAAATCGACCAAAACGTTGCGTTTTGGTCCGATGTCACGGACGGAGCTTAAAAGTCACGTTCGTGAACTGCTGCCGTGGAAGTGACTATCGGACTCTATAAATAGAAGGCTTCTAGGAGAGAGATGAGAAAGTGTGCTTGAATGTCATTCAGGATTGGTTGTGGTTTAGAATTGAGGATGTGTGGTTTTTGGCTGATTCTAGTGGTCGTTGCTTGTAGGAGAATGTCCAAATTGAAACCATAGGACCTTGTGTTGGTTTTAGATGAAGATGTGGAACCTCAAGCTATGTTTTCCACCACCCAAAAAGCCTTTTCCTCATGTCTGTTCGTTCTTTGCAATGAGCAAAATACTCCGTAGCTTTAATCACACTTGGCTGACATTTGATTCCTAAAGTGGACAACGTGGAAACCATGAATCAGCTCCGGCCATTCAGTTTGTATATAAAATTATCACCAAGATAATGGCTGAAAGACTTGCTTGCTTCTTACTCCAAATCATTGCATTCATTCGGGAACGTCAAATAGTTGAGAATGCCCTTCTAGGGAATGAGTTAATGCATTACTTGAAAATCAAAACGCGGGGTAAGAAAGGGTACATGGCTCTGAAGGGTGATATGGAAAAGGCCTTGACACGCTACGACACAACTCCTAACAATAGCCAAGTGTAACTAATGAAAGGGACTGCAGTATAGTGGCACAAGTAATAAATATCGAATCCATGGGTTTCTAGAGTTACTATTACTCATCTTCAGTTCATTATCTAGCAAACTAGATTAATGATCGATTTACTAAACTACTCTACTAAATAAACTAAGGCTAAACTACCAATTACAAGTTACGAACTCACTTAGGTATGATTCCCCCTAGCTCCTCAATTAGGTCCAAGTTGTAATTACCTTTGGTTGATCTACTGTTGATTAAACCGCGGAAGATCCTAAATTAGCATGGAATCTCTTAAGCTGACCAAACCCTCTTAGACAGAATACCTGGCAAGTGACTAGCCTTCACCGGGATAGACTGCTAAGGTGATTCACACAGATCTCCACTATTGGAATGAATTCCAGTACAAAGCACCGAATTGACTGACTCGCACAACCAATTCACTACTATCAATCAGAAAACACTCTCTTAACCTAATCAGATTCTATCTATCAAAGATTAAAGCAGAAATCAAGAGAATTTGATCAGGATTCAATTGACTCAATAAATCATGTCTCAATCGATTATAATCACACAATATAGCATCCAAAACTTCATACAAGAAAGATCCTAACACATGGAACTAGGGTTCCTCAAAACCTAAGTGAAGGGAAGTTACTCCATAGAGAAGAGAGAGACTGCAGAAATCTGATCTATATCTTCAATCTCCATCTCCAAGCTTGATTCCGAGCTCCAATGGCGAAGAAATCCTCCAAAATAGCTCCAAGAATGTTCCCAATCTGCCTCAAAAACCCAATTCTGGGCGAAATACGGGCTGAATTACGGTCGTAATTCTTCCCTGCCCGTATTTAGCCCAAAATGCGCATTTTGGTTAAGTTTCAGCGCATCCAAGGCTCCTCTCGGCAGTGAAAATACGGGCATGGGAGGCGAAAATATGGCCGTATTTCTCCTTCCCGTATTTCTTCCTCCGCTCTTCGTTTCTCCCTCGTTCGGACTCCGAATCAGTCGCCGTTTGATCCCAGACGCTCGTAGTCTCGTCCTCTTTCTTTTTATGACAAGATTAAATAATTATTTGTCCATAATATGAGGTAGAAGTCCATTCTTCCTCAGGTCATGCTCGTGTTTCTTCTCCCGAATTGCCAAATGATCTCCGATTGACTTAAACTTGCGTCTATGCTTCAATTTACATACTAGGACCTGAAATGTGACAAAGGAACACAACCTAGCATAAAATAGCCCAAGAAGGCAAAAAATCAAGCCAAAATGATCAAGGAACATGGGTGCAAACATGTGCAAATACGACGTTATCAGGCCTACGATAGAGTCGAGTGGCCCTTTCTGCTTGCCGTTTTGGACAAGATGGGCTTTAACTCCACCTGGAATGGATGGATAGATGAGTGCCTCAGATTGATGTCATTCTCCATTCTCATGAATGGCACCCCCTCGGGATTCTTTACTCCTTCCAGGGGACTCCGGCAGGGGGAACTACTTTCTCCTCTCCTGTTCGTAATTTTCACTGAGGGGTTTGCGGCATTCCCGAGGAAAGCTATTTATGGGGAAAAAACTGGATGGATTTAAGGTGGCTCCTCGAGCTCCCCGAATTTCACACCTATTTTTTGCTAATGATTCCTATCTATTCCTAAGAGGCTCTCTCCAGGAATGTGAGAACTTGATCGAGGTCGTGAATGAATATGAGGAGCTTAGTGGCCAAAGAGTGAACTTGGCTAAGTCAACGGCTTGTTTTAGTAAGAATATTTTCTCTGCCAGACCAAGAATTCTTAGCTCAGATTCTGGGTGTCACGGCTGTTGGGGTCACAATAAATATCTGGGGTTGCCAACGCTCATTGCCCAGTCTAAAATGGCCACGTTTCGCTATTAGGAGAAGAAGTTGGTTGAGCAAATCTAGGGATGGAAGTAGAGGACATTATCATGGGCTGCTAAGGAAACTCTGATTAAATCACTCGCTTTGGGTTTGTCGTTGCATGTTATGTCCTATTTTAAACTGCCTCTATCCCTGTGTCGGCTCATGGATAAACATGTGGCCAGATTTTGGTGGGGTGTGGCTGACGGGCAGTCGAGGATTCGTTGGATGTCGTGGTGCGATATGTGTAAGAGTAAACATGATAGGGGTATGGGATTTCGTCGCTTCGATCATTTTAATCAGGCTCTTTTGGCTAAAATTGGGTGGCGTATCCTTACTGATCCCCAATCCCTCCTAGCCCAGGTTTACAAAGGGAAATATTTTCTTCATACCACCTTCCTCAAGGCTACGGCTCGCTCCCGCCCCTCTTGGGGGTGACAGAGTATCCTTTATGGCCGGCAATTATTAGAAATGGGATTACGCTGGCAAATTGGTAATGGGAAGACTGCGCCTCTACTTAATTCCAACTAGATACCTCAATCACATCCTTCCTCCCCTGTATTTAACCCTCTTGTGCTCTCCGACGAGGAGGGACCGAAGGTAGCGGAGATTATCTATCCAGAGGAGGGGCGCTAGTGTGAGGCAAAAAAGCTTAGCTAGTGGTTTGACCCGCCAACCTGTCAGGCCATAAAGGCTATTCCTCTTCCTCGCCAGAATGTGGAGGATAGGCTTGTTTGGAATGATAATGTTGATGGGGTGTTTACGGTTAAGTCATCCTACCATTTTGCAGTATTAATCGATAGGCGGAGGGGTCATAGGCGGTCCATGGCAAGTTCGATGGATAGTGCCAGTTGGATTCGGTTATGGGAGGCTATTATTCCTCCCAAGTTGAAAGTGTTTGTCGGGCAAATATTTAACCGAATCCTTCCAACTACGTAATCCCTAATTGAAAATGATATCTATGTGCTCCACAGATGCCCAGTTTGATGGGCTTCTTCTGAAACATTGGAACATTTGTTTTTAGATTGCCTAGTGGCTCGCGCACTATGGGACCTTTCCGGTTTGGAGTATCTTGGGCAAGGGTTTCATCGTCATACTTTCCCGCTTTTTTAAAAAGGTTGATGTCTCTTGTACATCCGCCTTCTCTGCTTATGGCGTTTGTCACTGTCCCGTAACTGGGTGGTCTCAGGCAAACAGTTCGGGATACCTGCCTTAATGTGACAATTTAATCAGCAGTATGAGGAGTGGTTCAGATTGTCGATGGACCGAGTTCTGCAACCTTCTGTCCCAGTGCAATATCCTTTGGGTCATGGGGTGGCTAGGTCGACGATTTGCATGTGGGATGGGGCAACAAGGAGTGGGTCCCACTCGTCATGCGGGATGTTCATTTTGAAACACGCTAAGGAAATCCTTTTGGTTAATGGGGTCCAGTTTTCGTTAATTGATGATCCTATGGTAGTTGAGTTGCTTACTCTCCGGGATACTATTTTATGGTGCCTAGCCCGCGGATTCACAGACATGTGCTTTGAAAGTGATGCCAAGGTGGTTATCGAGAAGATTAATCATGTTGATACTAGAGATAACAGGATGGGAGCTATTCTAGAAGAAATTGTGCACTATTTTGTTCCCATACTGGTTTTCGTGTTCGATTTGTAGGTCGGCGTAGTAACAGGGTAGCCCATTTGGCGGCTAGAAAGGCCCTTTCATTGTACCCGACTATGAGTCAATCATTTGATTAACAACCCTGACTGTGTTCCAGTATGTAACTATCGATGTTTTTAATCAATATATGGTTACCTTTCGTAAATAAATAAAAAAAGAGTTAAATGGTATATGCTACAAATTAGCCTCTATATCTCGTGCTATAAGAGGTACTCTAGATAAACAGAATCAAGGTATTCCAAGATTTCCTGATCACACATCCTTCTAATGCAAGAGCTAGAACAGAAAAAGTGGAACCATACGCGCAAAACAATGAGCCCAAAAGATATATTGTTACAAAGACAACACAACAAGGTTTCACTTATTATTGGCACACAATCACAGAAGTCCAAACCACATAAAGAGCACCATCACATGGCCTACAACCTCGACGGCATCATTATTACTTAGGAACCTTATAACACAAGTAGAGAAGCATCTCCATAACCCCGCAAAACATTCAAGATCCCATCAGGAGTGTAGCCATTTTTTTGCTATCTCAAAGCTGAAGAACCGTCTTCCAAGAAGGTCTGCTGCTGATATCATCCCACCATGCACTCACATGCTTCCTGCTCCGAATCATGTACTCCTTCCCGATTGGACCCACCAAGTACTGCGTGAATGGGAGGTGGCTAAGGTCAGCAAGGCTGAAGAAATCCCCAGCCAAGTACTTGCTCTTCGACAGCCTCTCCTCGTAGACGTCCAGCACCTTCCCAAGCTTCTCCTCGCTCTCCCTGATGAGCTGCTCGTCAGCTGGGAAGCCCAGAACAGAGGCGAACATGACGTGAAGGGTCAGGTTGTAGATAGGTGGGTGGAAGTTCTGTGACTCAACTTCCAGCCACTGCTCAACCAGCCCTCTTTCCTCTATGGTCTTCCCAAGCAGATCAGTCCCCTGCGACTTGTACTTCTCTGAGTAGTACCTTATGATCGCCCTCGATTCTGTAACGTTTTCACACACACAGAAAAAAAAAAGGGTCTTAATCAAATCGTAAATAGAGTGCGAAGAGACTTTTAAGCTTTGGGCAATGCCGGATTTCAGCTTTTTCAGTTGAAAAATGGTGATTTCTGTACTGCACACGAACTGTTCGATGTTTTGTCTGAAAGATGAATAACGGAATCTAAATCGCATTACTGACAGGGCAAGAGTCTAGGGATCATCAGAATTACCATACAAAGTGTAGTCTCCATCTTGAATCACAGGCACCGATCCAAACGGCTGGACACCATTGATGCCAACAAGATCAATAAACGTCAGTTACGGCGGCGGAAGTAAAACAGAAGAACCCAAGCAGATGGTCAGTTGGAGGCTGGTACCTGCAGTTTGAGGAAGTCTGGGTGTCTGTGCTCTCCCTTGACGAGATCGATTGGGACAGTCTCAAACTCGATTCCCTTCTCAATAAGGCACACGATTACTCGCTTCGGGGAAGCATAGGCTGAACCGTACACCTTCACCGCCATTTCACCCCTATCTTTTTCCCAAGCTCTTCACTGTCGTTGTTGACTAGCTGCAAAATGAGTGAGCCAGCAGCCTAGAGTATGGACAAGACTAAAGGGATCAATATGTAAGGAGCTGCTGGTCAATAGTCAATCCTCGCTATTCCACCAACTCCCATAATTTAGAAAAGGAGTAAAAATGAACTTGGGTCAAGGGCAAGGCAATCAATTCTTCTAGGCTGTGGTGCATCTATGTTTTTGTTTTCTTGATTTTGTATTTTCTTCATAAAATCATTTTTAAATTATTTTGTTTATTGTGATGAGATCCATTATCCACATAATTCGAAATTTGATTTTTCTATATAATAACATAGCCGCACAAATATTGACACAACACCATTTGACCATAGACATATTCATAATATGTATTGAGCGTTTTCACACTATTATTTTTTTTTTTTCCAAAGCGTTTTCACACTATTTTCTTATATGTATTGTGAATACTCCTATCATATTATTCGAATCTCTCAACATTTTTAGGCTGTTTGTTTATATATACATTCAAAATGTATCAATTTTGGTTTGTTAAGTTAAAACTATCTACTGAAAAACAAATTAAAAAACTGATGGCCTGGAAATAAGTAAATAAATATCATATGCATTGCACCGTAGCCTAGTTGCAACAAGCTAAATGCCTCATTGGTTTCTACGGATCTATCAAACGAACGATATTGGAAAGAAAGTTTTAGAATGAGAAGAATCGAAGATGATAATTTGGCCATAATAAATGAGTAGAAGGAAGGTAGGTGTGGAATAGTTACATGCGGCCATCTAGTTTGGAATTATGAGGAAAGACGTAGGTTAGGTGTGGGCAAAAGGAAAACATGGTAACGGTAGGTAACCACCAACTTTTTTTTATTTGTTTCCCACTCGCTACGGATACACCGCAATTTAAATCCCGACTAGAGCTCAAGTATAAACTCTAACCGAGTGCAATATAGGGCAAATATGTTTTAAAAGTAAAACCCGTACCGGTTCATGTACCCCTACTTCAATCGCTTAAGTTATTATCTAGCAATCGGTTTTTTGTTTTAAAACTAAGAGGTCGTATGGAGGTTGGAAGATCAACCAATGTATTTAGCCAATGTATGTAATGTTAAGATTAAGTCGGTTTTTTTTTTAATTTGTGACAAAATACATGTATTACATTTTTCTGGACCCACCTACAATCACTCAAAATGAATGATTATCAATATCTACCAAAAGGTGAGATTGTGAATTGTGACCAATGGATTGTCTACCCTCTATTTTTTATATATATAACAAAGCACAATCTAAACTTCCAAACAAGATATTTTTCAAATTCATACATTTCATCAATACATCAAATTACAATACCCAAATTGATTAAATACTTCAATTTGGAGAATCTCAACCTCCAAACAACCCTAAGAAAACTACAAAAATACACAAACAAGGAAAGTAAATCAAGGAGAATTCTATATGAGAGGACTTCACTTGGGTATTGCTCCTCCTAGTCTAGTATTAAGAAACAATGAATGCAACTCTAGTGTGAAGGATGTGTTATTATACCATGAGGTGGGGTGCAACTAGCCAGGGACAAACTCTCATAGTCGATCGATTAAGGATCACAACAAAAAGCTAGTGAACCTAGCTCTCTTAACCGATCAACCAAGGAAACCCTAACTCCCCTAGTTGACCAATTTAGGGTTGTTGCATTAAGTAAGTAGACTTACTCTCTTACCTTTCGGCTACGAATGCCAACAATAGGTTAGGCAATCTAGCCCCCTCTAAACCGGTCGACTAAAAATTGCAAACCAATCCCTCAGAACTTAATCTAGATGGAGGAGCGTGGCCAATCACTTCAAAATCATGGTACTAGTCCAAGAGGTTTTGGCCCTAAATCAACCCAAAAGGGGTTCTAAAAGTGGCCAGGAGATCAAGCTCCCTATGGGCCAAAGGGGGATTTCCATATTCTAGGTTAATTTGACCCAATAATGAGATAATACAAGCAACACTCAATCATTCATGATTAATAACTCAAATATTATAAAGAACACATAATCAACACAATAAAATCAAGTTCTTACTTCCTAACACACATCTAGACTATGAATCACAATAGCCAAGTGAGTAGGTAGGCTATTTCATAGCTAGGCAAAGGAAAATAACAAAAAAGAGAGAAAGAAACATGAAGAGATATCAATCTTCCTTTCTTGTTGCTTGAATATCCCTTGAGAAGAAGAAACCTTCAATCCCCTAGCTTAGGGCAAGCCCAAATCTCCTCCTTCTTTCTTTAAATGGCAATTTCTCTCTTTAAAATAGGAATAGGAAACTCTAATATATCACTAGAACCCCTCTTTTGTTCCACACACTAAAAACCTACCAAAAGCTTTCTCCTTTTCTCCTTCAACTCACTTCCCCTTTTATACCCAGATCGACATCTGTTCACGGTCCCAGTTCACGGCCATCAACATTTGTCCTGGACTGTGAAGTCAAGAAGATTCCCACCGTTTCATTAAGTCACTTCACGGTCTGGGGCTGGAGTTCACGGTCTTGCTACCGTGAACTGGTTGGGCTCTAGTGAGAAGCGCAAACTGTTCTGGAAATTTGGCACTTCACGATCACGATGCAATTGTCACGGTCATCTTTGGACTTTTCTTCACTTTTTTGCGCTTTTCAACTTCCAATCAACCCGAAACTTGTCCTCGGCCTTACCACACGTGCTAGGACCTGAAATGTAACAAAACAAGCACAACCTAGTATAAAATAGGTTGAGAGACGATGAAATGCAAAGTCAAACTATCAAGAAATGAGAGGTAAAATTTGTGCAATTGGACCCAAATCACACCCTCACACTTGAATGTTTGTTTGTCCCCAAGCAAACCATTCTCAAACAAGGCAATATTTCAACCTAACAAAAATAACTTGGGGAAATATCAAAGGGAACGCAATGGATGAATCTCAATGTTTATTTGGCATCAATACATGAACAGTTACAAGCAATACCGACACCTACCACAAACGACATTCGAATGCATTAAGAACGTGCACACGAAAAGTTCTCACTTTGTTCACAAACCGCAATTAACCATGCATAGAGATCAAGTCCAAGGAACAAACGAATGGGCAACATAGGTCCTCACTGGGATAAGACATGAATATGCTAAACAAGAATGAATCACTCACTCTCAACCAGTGGGGTCAAGACCATTTGGTGGAAAAGATGTGCACAATTATCAACACTCAGCCCTATCATCTCTTAACCACGGTGGCAACCTCTAAACGCTAGAGTTCACAAGGTGGTTGTCATCAATAGCTTGTCCGGAGGTCTTAGACACGGGTTCAAATGACTGGCAATTGTCTTGGACATGGGGAAAAGGCCTTTTGGGTGGTGGCAAACATAACATGAGGTCCTACATCTTCAACCTAAAACCAAAGGTTCTATGGTTTCGACTAAGAACCTTTCCTACAACCAACGGCCACTAGAATCGGCCAACAATCACATTTCCCTTCTCCCAAACCATTACCAACCACGAACTACTTTCAAGCACACTTCCTTGGCTAATCCTGCTATCCCCAATTCGAGCATAGTAGTGTAGGAGGTCAACAAACAATTTAGGTATTTCAATGGCTTGAGTGCCAAGAAACCCTTTCTAGAGCATACACTTAGACTTTGTGGCAACTCTCTACTTTTATTTACCGCATTTTATTATCTATTTTTTTTCGTTTCTTTTTTTCTACTTTCCATTTTTTCTCTTTTTTTCAAGGGGGGTACTAGAGAGTTAAACACTTGCCAACTTAACACTTAACGAACAATGCTCTCTATTAAGAACTTCCTCCAACACTACTTCTTCATTCCTAGCAAGAATCGTGGAAAATCCTCATATGTAGAACCTCAATGGAGCACAAAAGTGAAAGCTCCGGGACACAAGGATGACTCGCAACGATTTAGACAAGAAGAAAGGATGAGGGGTCGTTCTATCAATCACCATTAAGCTCACAAGCAACAAGCTCCAAACATGAGAACGAACCCCAAAGTCACACGACTCAGGTTGACTAGGGGAATATTTCGGGACAATCAACTTTTTGGCGTGGGCTAATCCTATTTCTCCATCATACTCACTAGTAACAACGGTGAATGTTGCACACCATGGCGAAAGGGATCTATCACACATGAAAAAGATGATCGGCACAAAGCTCACATGGCTACCTAGCCACCCAATCATCTATTCCAATTCACAAAAATCAATGCATGGAAATCGGAATCAATGAGTAATCAAGTCAAGACATTCATTCATTTCCGCACACATGAGAACTAAACATTTGCACTATCCTAATGCAATTCTCAGTCATCATGATACGATGCACTCGACTGCAAGCCATCAATCCAAGGTCAATGCCAATAAACACAAGATTCTCTAACGAACCGGCCAGAATGAACATGGAATGCTTGGAGCCCTCAAATTTTAAAAATTTGGGCATGCATCTAGGCTCCAAGCATACAATCACACACACAAGCATAATAGATAGACTATCCCCCCCCCCCCCAAACACACACACACACTTAAGTTCGACATTGCCCTCAATGGTGTAAATTAAGGGGCAGAACGATGTTACCGCATAGTTTGGCGAGTGAAAGTCGGGACATAATTGGACCGGTTTCAAGAGAGGATAAAGCTTCACATGGGAAAAAACACAAAAACACAACACATTCTCGCACAATGCGAGGTTATTTCACAATAATCGCACTTAACAACTCAAATTTGTTTCATCGATTTCATGATGGATTTTGTTTAATCAAATTTGTAGATATTAGTGAAATTGACCTGATTGCCCCTGTCTATAATTTTACAACGAAAGAAGACTCCAAAAAGGGGGTGGGCAATGGGTGGGTTTGGTATCAAATTAACCCCGCTATCCACCCACATTTTTTATGCGGGTTGGGTTGGGTGAGTGGCGGATGAGTGCGGTTGGATTGTGGGTTAACCCGCAAAAATAATTCTTTAACTACATTAAAAAAGTTTACTAACATTTATAATATGTTCTTACAAATTAGTAAGACTGTATCAATTTAAAAACTCCCACTTTATCTCATTTGAATCTATCTAATATTTGCATCAAAATTTTCATTACTCCATCAATTGTATAGAGAAAATTAGCACATTTTGCGACTTTAATACACTTACTAGTTTATAATTTGCATCCTAATATCTAATGGGTATTACACAACACATTAATCAGTATTAGTAGTCCAAACATATTCTTTATTCTCCACCTTTAGAACTAGATGGTCAATATGTAGTGCGGTTACAAAATGTGATGAATATTTGTTAGTACAAGAAACAACATTTTGTCATGTGAACATATAGTGCAGGTCATTTGGGTGAACTCACAATCAACCCATCACCCACCCACATAAGTGCGGGTAGGAGATTTATCAATCCGTAATCCACCCACATCAACCACCCACTGTCTGCGGTTTGAGTTATTTGTGAG